TGTCGATGCCTATATATATATATATATATATATATATATATATATATGTATGTATGTATGTATGTATTTAGTTCAATAATCAAAATGCCCCTTTATTGTTACTAGATTATCCATGTCATAACAAATGACGAAATATTTTTCTGCACCTTTATTATTTGTAAGTCATTTTGACTTGATTTTTTTTTAAATATATAAATATAAAGTGCAAGGGAGATAACTTGTAATTGTTCAAAATGTTACGGAAATTATATACAGAAAAATAACATGTTATATTGTATGAGTTATTCATTTGTAAATACTAGAGACTCAATAAAGTAGTCGTTAGCCAAAAAAGTTTTAATGCCGATAAAGTATTAAAGAAAAATATCCTTACCAATGCTGTTGCTGGAGTGAGCAATGAGGTATATATGACGTTTGCTAAAATCACCCAATGAAGGTACATCTTTTCCGGATTTATATTCCTTGACTGGACTACATACAATACTGAAAATACAAAACATATAACAAGGCGATGAGTGGTCAAGTATTCTTTGCAGTAAAAGTTAAGTCATTATTAGAATAACAATTATTTTTAGACTAAAAGTCCCTGTCTGTTAAAAGTCCCTGAATCAATGTAGACAGTATTAGAAAGATAACAACGTACTAACAAAAATATATTGTATAATAGTTAAATTAAACTTTCCTCGTCGTTATAGTTTGTATTACTACCTTTCGGTCGTTACACTCTCCGGTCTTTCTCTTGGGTCTGTTGTATTATTGAATGTCGAACCTTGGTCTGGTAGTACATGTTTCACCACGCATACACGTCATATCCGGTTCAGGAGCCTGCAAGCTACCGGATTTGTCCTTCTCTGATTCACCCATTGAACACGTGGCGTTCTAATGAACAAAGTGGAATACCGTGGGTCAGACGTGGACAGTTCATAGCACGATAAGTCATGGGGCATCGGAATGATGTATTTGCAAGGGGAAGCCCCCGAGAGCGACCAAAATTCGACAATCCAAAATATCACACACGGGAAGGGTCGGGAAATATAGACACCGTAACATTGTGATAAAAATACAAACAATGAAAAATGAGTCTAAATGAATTAAAATACATTGATTTGCACAGTTCATCAGAAATTTGCAACCTAACAAAAACACTAAAATTTCGCATATGTAATATTCAGTTCTTAATTGGCTTTTACTTAATTCAGTGTTAATTGGCTTTTACTTGTAACGTCATACCGTAAGTTTGCGCATGTCTGAAACAAAAGGACAATTTCGAAATATAGAAAAGGATATTGTGTCCTCCGGTCCTTTTCAAGTGTCTGTCGATCCGGATAACGTTTAGGGAATTGAACCTTTTACTTAATCTACTAGGGTAGACTGTTCTCGTGCTACTGCCCACATCTAGTTCTTATTTATAGTACTGCTAAGTTATTGTTTACCCTGTTTCCACTGAGCCCAAGTACACACTACCTGACCCAGGTATTGAACTCACAATTATTGTGTCATCAAATTCACAAACTAACGACTTAATCCAATAGCCTATTCTGAATATATATAGTGGAAATAATGAGAAATCATCATCCCAGAAATTCAAACAGAAATTATCTGGACTTTTTTATTTAAAAATGTCACATTTGAAACATTTTTGAAAGTTTTAAAAAAACTTAAATTCATGTTGACTTTGGTTTCTTTAATTAAAATTCTATAATGACAAAAGAATCTTTAGAAAATCCAGAAAATTAAAAAAAAAATTATATGCAGATATCAATGAAGTAAGCAAAGTTTCAAACTCGACATTTGTAAATAACAGCTAATTTCAATAATGTTGTAAAAAGTCAGGGTTGAATTTTACACTGTACCAATAATATGAACAGAACCCCCGATTCTAAATATCCTCATCTTTGCTATTATTATCATAACATTTTGACCATTGTGCCCTTCAACCCTCTTTAGAGTATATAGTTAATTTTCAGGGAATTTTGATGTGGCCTTTTTATTTAATCTACGAGGAGAGACTTGTTCCGTTGTTCATATCTAGGAATTTCTCATCTTTCTTTTCTTTTTTTTTTTACTATTGTTCAGTTATTGCTAGCGCTGTTTCCACTGAATTCAAGGCCGTACTATCCGGCAATAATTTTTTAAAAAAGTTAAATTTATGCCACCAAATTCTAGCTTCCGTGCTGTCAATTGGTGGCCGAGTAGTTGTGAGTTGAATCCTTAGCCCCAGTAATACTGACTCAGTGAACAAAAGATGGGTTACAGTAAAGTCCAGTTATTTGCCTGAACATAACCATTTGGGTATTTACCCTAGGGTCTGGTGCACCCTCTGTTCATCAACGGGGGTAGATTGGGTGGATCATGACCGGTATCAAGACAGTTGTCTTATTTTAAGTTTGAAGTATGTGGCAGATTTGGGTGCCACATCGAGATACTTAGAAATACTCTCAATTGGAGAGTGGGTTAATGTTGTGACCTTGTTAGGGTCAGAAGTAAAGACACAAAAGAGGAATTGAGTTAACCAAAATATATTAACAGAAACAGTAATACAAACATATACAACCGAGAGTGTTAAAGCAAGAATGTTCGGTCCGACTGTCAGAGCTAACTGCTGGAAACTTCCATCTCGAAAAGGCAGTACCTGCTCCTATTTATAGCTGGGAGAGTCCATGCGTGCGTGGGTAAATTACCATAACAGTTAAGTTATTCGGACTTTTTTAATTGGTATCACCCCATGCAAGACAGTAAAGCCACTAAGACATAAGGGGTTACAGGGCGTGGAACAATTAGGAACATAAACATTAGTAATGGGCGGAAAGAGGAAAGAGTAATCAGGGTTACAGTAGATAGTGATTGACATTGCATTTAAATTTTTGTAGATTAAAGTTGGCTGGAAAGCATAGAACCGGAAGGGAGTTCCACAAACGAGAAGTGCAGGATAAACCGTCAGTATAGAAGTTACGGCTACATCTAGCTAGCACAACCGTAAATTGATGAGATCTCTCCGTCAGTCTAGTAATGCGCTTAGATTCAAAAATCTAGGTACCATAGAGAAGAGCTCATCCGAACACTTAACATGAAAGTATTTATAGAAAAGACACAGGGAAGCAACCTTACGACGGTGGGAAAGTGACTGAAGCTGAACCGCCAGATCAGGACCAATAATATTGCTGATTCTTCTTTGTATTTTATCAAGGAGCTCAAGGTAAATAACAGGGGCACCGGGTCATATATGGCAGCAATATTCTAAGCATTACCGAATGGTAGACTTATAGATAGACTCTGGAAAGAAAAATTGTCTCACACGACACAGTAAACCAAATTTCTTAGCAGCTGACCTAGCAATGGATTCTATATAGTATTTCCACTTCATATAAGCTGAGAACGTTAGACCGTGAAGACGCAACGATTCACTTTCCTGGAGGTTATCATCAGCGTGGCTGATGGAAAACAAAGAGGAGTCTCTCAGAAAATTAATGAAGTGTTTTTTTGCGCCAGTTAACAAGGTCGTTTTGGACATCAGCTACCATTTTGACCTTCTCGGACTGATAAGCCTTACTATCGAGCCAGGGTTAAATGGTTGTCATCAGCGTAGATACCAAGTTGAGATTTAAAGTTATTTCTAACTGAACCCTCCACCAGCAAGAATATTTGCTGCTTTTACCCAAATTTATGTATGATATACGCTTCACCAGACTGGGTGTCATGATGAGTTCATTTGTCTTCGTATATTTCATAATTATTTCTACATACAATTGTTGTTTTGCCCATTGACCAAACGTCACATTTTTGCTACTTCAAAAGCGGATCTGGCTACTAAATGTTTGTTCCTGTCTTTCCGCAACTGACACATTGTAGTAGGTTTTAATTGGGCAACATTACTTTTCACAATTCACTACTCGCTCACGTAACGTCTTTTAATGATATGAAAATGGAGATTTGTATTGTGGATCTCTAGCGCAATACTAGATTGACAACAAGGTCTCGTCATTTTAGAGGTGAAATGATTGGATGTAACCATAAATTCTATGCTAGCAATTTCTTTTATCGCACTCCACGCTTATGGAACTCTCTTCCGGGTCTTTGCTATCCAGTCAAATTGGATCTTCAAACATTTAAATGCAATATCAGTTGTTATTTTTTGTCTTCTTAATTCCGGTTCTTTTATTCCCTTTTCGTTAATAATTTTTTTTATTTTTCTCATATTCTTTCACACTCAGTAACACTTTGTGTCTTAGTGACATTATTACCTTACTTGAGGTGAAGTGATGAAAAAAATATTGTTACAAAAATCTCGTAAGTCAGGACCAGTTACATGGTCTAATGCGTTTTTTTTTTTTTCAGAGAATCACGTACATGGAGGAAAACCTCAATTTTCCTGCCAGCTATTTTATCACGAAATATCTTATTATAGATAATGTAAGTTAATGCACATATGACAGGTGTTGATCACTGCCAACCAGTATTATGCAATGTGTCTCAATTACATACGGTATTTGTCGTATAAAATAAATAGTAAGCTAGTCTCCTAGATCTTAGCTCGGGTAATCTACTCAATCCTTACTGGGGTCTTCGCTATTGTTGTATTTTGCATGACTTGGCTATGTTTAATAAATATTTAAATAACAGGGAAACCTTAAGTATAATTTAAAGAACTACATCGATTAGTCGTAAACTTACGTTTAGAAATAGATTCATCAATTTTATCACCCAACATAAATCAATAGGCCGATCAATCCGGATCGATTTAGGCAGTAATTTAGCGAGTAAACTCAAAAAATGAAAGACATTTCGTTTTCCTGATGTGTGATAATGTAATTAAACTTATACACCTGAATTCCAGAATTCCAGAAATAATACAAAATAAGACATACTTTGAATCGGTTGTGTAATATGTATGCATATTATTATGATAAAAATGACAAGGAGACTTAATCAGGAAGAAACAGCTAAAATTTCTGGAACACACAATGAAGAAAGAGGGCATGGAGAATTTGACACTCAAAATACACACAGAAGACTGAAAAAGCAGAGTAAACGGTGAGTAACCTATTTAATGAGTTTGCATGAAGGGGTCACAGAAAAAAGTCAGAGAGGAACAGCAAAGGATTAAAAGTTACTTAGAGCAACAACAATCAGGAAGTTGCGGAGAGTCATGGTCGTTTACATTCTGAAGGGATATAAAAGAAGAAGAATGTGGATTAGGCAATATTCCAATAAATATTTCTCCAGAGAGAGAGAGAGAGAGAGAGAGGGATGATGATGATGATGATGATGATGATGATGATGCAGTTTGGTGGAGGTGGTAACTATTCTCTATTTAGCCAAACTCGAATTACATTTTCAGTAACATTTAATATGAAATGCGTTGAATGGTTTTTAGAAGATACATATTTAAAATTTAGAAAAATTGTTTTTGTTTGTTTTGTCATGAAATTTACAAATGTTCAT